CTCTCTGAGGGGGCCAAAATTTCGCCCCCTATAGTCAGCGATGGAGTCAGCTGACTATGCCGAGGCGCCGGCAGCCACAGCCACTCGGTCTTGGAGGGGTTGAGCCTGAGTCTGTTCCTCCCCATCCAGACCCGAATGGCCTCCAGGCAACGGGCCATCACGTCAAGGGCATCGTTGGGGTGGCCTGGGGTGGAAATGTGTATGTGTATACACACAGACATACAGAAATACCAATACATACAGTATATAATCACACAATATATGTAGTATAACAGGGGTTCTTTTCGATTAATTAATGGTGATTAATGATGTTCCTCTACCAATTACTCCATTCAGAAAAAATGTGGAGAAATTACATACATATGTGTTGTGTTTGTTGATTTTTACTTCCAGATACAATATGGTTTTCTCCAGCATGATCTTGGCCATGTGTCAGTCTTTGAAAAGCTCAAGTGGAACAGAGTAGCTCACTATGTGGTGCTTGGCATTCTTAAGGTCAGAATCCATCCAAGAGAAGGGATGGTTTAAGTGATGATTTGTGATGATTTATATATTTGAAATTGGGTCTGCCAATCCATTGTTATTTTCTGTCTCTAGGGTTTTGAAAAATAGGATAAGGATAATGCATTTATACAGCACTGAAGTGCTGACAATATAAGAAAATATAAGATCATTTTTGCCACAACCCTGTAAAAAATGATCGTACTAGTAGTGCTTCCTTACATCAAGGAGAGATGGGGTTAAGAAAAATATAGCCAGTCTATATTTCATAGTTATGAAGCATTTTTAACAGTACTGCGCTATACTTGCTTTACTTTTTCACTATTGAAGAGAAACTAGTGGAGTATTTCTAGTCTCTTTTTGTTTCACACAAATACATTTAGCATCAAAACTGGAATTTTCAATAGGCAGTCTTGAAAGCAGTATTTTCAGATGATTAATAATAAGAAGAAATGTGGTTAGCTTACATGGAAGTGATGGAGGTCAGAGTGCTCTCATTGTACACAATTCAATTCCTGCTAGATGGAAGGAAGTATAAACCAACCGACCTGCAGCTGTTTTTGTTTTGTTTGTAGATAGTCAGTGCGGAATATATAGGATACAGCATTATTCACAAATAGATGGAATTCATGTTTGTATTTCTGTGCTTCTCAAGGGAGGACCAGTGAGTCAATGGAACCACATGCATAACCAGCATCACGCCAAACCCAATTGCTTCCGCAAGGACCCTGATCTCAACACGCACCCATTCCTTTTCAGCCTGGGGAAGAAACTTTCTTTGGAGGTAAATAAATAGAAAGTCTTAGACATACAAAAGACCCTGAAAAAATATTAGCAGTACTAAAAGGAAAATAAAACACCACCATGTCTCTGATGAGCAATCTAGGAAAGTAGGAAGAAGGGATTCTTTATATCTCCCGTTTTTCTTTACAACAACTCTTGCTGCTACTGATTGGTTCAGGTACTACCTTATTTTCTGTAATGAATCTGTCAAACTTCTTTTCTTTTTTCTTTTTGGGTAACAATTCCCTTCACGTTTGCCTGCCAGTTACATCACAATCTGTTGCTACATTTAATTTTCTCCCAACTAGTGACCCTCACAAGAGAAGGCCTCGTGATTAGAAAGTTGTTCCTGTCTTAACAGATCTTGATAGCTCCTCAGCACAGACTCCCTCCCTGCTCAGAGCATCATTTCATACTACAAATTTACAACTGACATATCAATTTTACAGTTATTTTAAATATTTGGTTTTCTGGCATTTCTCTCTCTCTTGGCCCCAACCAACCTGTATTAATGATTCTGATTTAATGAAACAAAGTTCCATTGCACTTCTGCATTAATCTGTACATTTTTCAAAAATTATTTTTCAAAGAACGTGTTTTTTTTTATATTTTCATAT